AATTAAATTATAGAGGTGATGAGGCTGGGACCAGATCTTATATGGCAAGATGCTCTTTCTTCTCTAATCTTACTATTAAGTCCCCTTATCCTGAGGCCTTATCAACTCATATCAGCAACAGCTTCCAACTCATCTCATTCATTTTCCAGTTTAACTTCTACACTGCCTCTGGGATAATCCCAAACCACCACATTCAACATGGCAGTTACCTACTCAAGGAGTCAGAATGGTTGTCTAATGCTTCAAGTCTAAATTAGTCTACAGGGTTTTCAGGGCTGTCTTTGACCTATTTTATCTTAAATCTAGCACTTATTTCCTAATTATTTACTGAGATCTTTCTTTCTTGAAGAGACTATGAACAAAGAAGGTAAAGAAACAGATTTAAGACCTGGACTTAACTATCAACATCAACTTTTTCTTAGCTCTAATAGCCTCTTCCAATTTCCTATATATACGCATTCATATTTTTATTATTTGTAACTCAAGCTTTTGGGCTTCTTGTGCTTAAGTATCTTCTCTTCTTGAACTTACAATAAAATCCAAAATCTTTCTATGGCCATAAGGCCCTGCATCATCTGGTCCCTGACTATCTTTTCTTACAATGTCCTTTCCTTTTCTCACTCACTGTATACCAATGATGACTGCCTCCCAGTTCTCTGAATGTACGAAGTTCTTCGCTGCATCTAAACCTTCTTCTGCCTAGATCACATTATCCACTCTTTTTTTCTTTACTCAAACATTAAGCCTTAGTTTGGATGCCATAAGAGCTTCCTTCCCTGCACTCCAGTATACATGAGTTTTCACAGCCCCATGCATGCTTTTCCTTTATAGCATTTATGACAGTTTTTAAACTTTGTACTTATTCATGTGACCATGTATTCAACAGTCTCTCTACTAGAAACAGTTAGTCTCTCTACTAGTTCATAACCTCCAGGAAGACAAGCATATTTCTCTTGCCCATCCCAGTGTACCTAGCATCTAAAACAATACTCGGTAGATGCTTAATAAATATCAGTTGAACAAACAAGTTAATACCTTATCTGGATACTGGCCACTCTTTTTCAACTACTTTCATTTTCTCCAAGAACCCTTGAGGTCTTCTCAGTCTCTCAAAGACCCATTTCTTCCCTGACTTCTTTTCCTTTTTTTAAAAAAATAGTTCCTCAAATGTTGAATTCAAAACCCTGGTGACAACTGACCTAGCTCACCATGAAATAAAAAGCCATCTCTCCCAGTATATCATTGCAAAGCTGGCTGTATTTCTTTCCCAAACCATACAACTTAATCATAAATATAAATCAGTCTAAAATATAATTAATTAGAAAAAATATATAAAACAACCAGGATTTGGATAAGACTTCTCATTTTTTTTCAGCTTGACAAGTTCTATAAAAACTTCTCTCTTAATAGGTTCCATTTTTTTGTTTGTTTTTCCCTGGCTTCTTATTGTGCTTAAAGTCTTACCACATGTCAATAAGTCATCTGCCCATCTTACTTTTCCACTCTGTTTGTTTGGTACTTAAAATTGGGAATAACATGTTTTACATCTTTTAGGAATTCTGTAATGCCTTGTTCAGACCTGTTTAGCAGCAGAGACATTTCTTTTTCTTCCTCTAAATCCCCAGCAGGTATTGCAGGGGCCCACAAACAAGAAAGCCTCAGTAAATGCTTGCTATACTGTTCAATTACATGAAAGTTTCTTGGGTTCACAGGAGATTTATTGGTACTTATTTGATGGATGGACTTATTCATTCATTCAATAACTACTTAACGCTCCAATATTCAAAGTTCTATGCTTGGCACTAGGGAGAAAATGGAACAAAAGACATACAAGGAAGCTCCCATTCCAGTGGAGGAAATCTATATGCATGTATATAATTACAATATAATATCTGGTAATGGGAGAAAGTTAGGTGCAGGATGACATCATGTGCACAAGGAAGCCCCAGGACTGATTCTATTCATAAATAGAATGAGGGAGGTTTCATAAAGTTGAGTTGTAAACAATGAACAGGAGTTTACCAAGCCAACAAAGGTAGAGAGGTATGAAAGAGCAAGGCATGTTTAGAAAAAGCCAAATAAGTCATCAGGAGATAAGGTGAGAGAAATAGGCAGAATTACATTATGCTGGGTCTTTTACGCCATGCTAAGTAACAAGGGTTTTTAAGGCTAAGTGGGAGCTGACATGAACAGTTTTAATTTTTAAAAAGAAGTATGGCAGTGGTGTGGAGGATAACTTAGGGAAGGAAGACAGATTCAGGGAGTCTATGTTGGGGAGAAACATGAAGGATCTGGGGTGACAGCAAGGATAAAGCGAGGGCAGTGATTTGACTGGCATTAGGAGACAGATGTTAACAGGATACAGTGATTAATTGAGAAGAGACAGAGAGGAGATAGAGATGCAGGAGCCTAAGAGGCTCCCTAAGTTTCTGACATGGATCTCTGAGCAAATGCCTTTCACTTGATTTAAGGAGAAAGTATATGTGTGAAGAAAAGAAAATGAACGCCGTTTAGGAATGATGATGGATGTCTGAAGGACACCCAAGGGCATATGTCTGGTAGGAAAAAATAAATGAGGACCTGAAGCTCAGGGGAGACGTCTTAATTAGAGATTTAGATTTCAAGGCTAAATATTTATGATTCTGGAATGATGAAATGGAATGAAAAATAGAGCTACCAAGGCCCTGCCAGCTGCTGCTTCTGACCTCCAGCAGACTATCCAATACTCATCAGTCAACATGTATCAAAATGCATGATGTGGGCTGGCAATCTGTCATTCACTTTAGCCCCTCTAGATTTGCCTGTGAAACCAGCAATGAGACTTAGAGGAGAGGAATAGTGGGTCTTTAGTTTAGCTAATATCTCCCGTACTCTTTGGCACAGAGGGGAGAGTGTTCTGGCACTACTGAACACGCGCACCATGCGACTGGAGACTAGACTAGAAATATCTGAGTGGAAAAACAGTCACTCAAGGAGTTGTCTTGAGGAGAAGAAACAAACCAATTGCTCTGTACCAATTCTTGGTACATCTGATGTGATGTATCTCCCTAGTCTCTTGCAACTTCTGACAATTGCTCCGAGAAAAGTAACATGCAATCAATTTGACAACTAATCATAATGAAAGCAGAATTATCTGATAATACCAGCTCAGTGACCTAAAAATTTTAAGACCTTACATACTACACAAATCCTAATGGAAAGAAGAAAGAGTGTTTATTGATTAAACCTAGGTCTAAAATCTACCTAGTAGTTCACTCTTAAAACTAAAAAAGTGTATATTTTCAACTAAGAAGCTTACAGTTTTATTATGTGAATCTCAAGGTGGTATAGTTCTCTAATATGTAGGGATTTTAAATGACCTAATAATTTCCAGGAACTCTAAAACAATTTTTTAATATTTCTTCTTTTAAAATGTTCTGTTGTTTCTTGAGACTAAATTATAAACAATAAGTCCAAAGATAAAACAACTGCATGGATTGATGATTCTACATGAATTACAAACCAGAGCAATGGGGTACCTCGACTGGGTTTGAGTCTTTTCTACACAGTAGATCCAATTAAAAAAAAGTACCAGGCACAGGCACTGTGCGTGGTGCTAGGGTCATAGAGAGAGAAGACATAGTCCCTGGCACTCAAAGATGACAAATACTGTGCTCTGGTTTTCAAACTGTCACCCCTGGACTTTCAGTGGTTTCACAGGGTACTCACTAGATAGGGGCATGGACACTGTAAGATTCCTATTATTTTCCCTTTCAACAATTGAGTAGTTCTATTTCATGTCTTTCATTTATTGGAACTCCTCATAGAAATTAGCTTGAAGAAAGGATTCTTCCATACACAAATATAAATAATACAGTTTACAAACCTCTGGTATAGTGGAAAAATAAGAGCAGTGAGAATCTACTGGGATACATACTGGGAGCCACTGGTGACAAGGCTCCACATGCTCTCATCAGTAAGTGTATCATTTTACTTCCATGTCAAAGTGAAACACAGGGCTTTGGAAGGAGGCAGGCACGGCAGGATGGTCAAGATTAGAGGTACCAGGGAACACACAAAATAATTGCTGTTTTTGTACTCTGTTATAACTTCCATTTTAAACTTTCTCAAATGTATAGGACGCAATTGGAAAAGTAAAACAGCTCTTTGCAAATCTTAAGTAAAACAACAACCACCACCCATAAAGCAGTCTTATCACAGAAAGTTCCCAACCAATATAGAAGTATCCCAAGATTTATTTTCTCTCTGCTCTACTTCGAATATAACCACAAAGAAAAGCTGGGGCTCCCCACAAAGGTCTTCTCACTGCATCAGAGCCTTGCTGAACTGTAGAGGAAGAGAAGCCTAGAACTGCCTTGATTTCTCCCTACCTTCCAAGGGGGAAAGCACTGCCACAGTGGCTCATGCTTAAGGGCCTCACTGCTCTGTCAAGACACACGGTCTATTGCATGTCAGCCTCTTTACGTGGCTTCTCCTCCAACCCAAGGCAAAAAGGAATGATGGAGTCAGTACAACTTTTCCTTTTGTCCAGAAGATGCTCTCCCTCTTACAGCGCCGGGCTGAAAATGAGGGCTGGGGCTACCCTCAGACAGAACAACATTAGCCTATTTCCTTGGGAACACCCTCTCTCAAACGCAGCAAAGTAGAGTCCAAGGCTTCCTGCATTCAAGAGCAGGGTCTCTTTGCTGAATTTGCTTTGTTCTATGTTTCTCCTTTGTGTTTTCTCTGGCACTGAATAGACAGATGCATCCTCTTCTTTCCCTGAGCTGGTGATGGCCAAGACTGAGGGGGAAATAGGCACAGGATACAAAAGAGGTCCCTTGTGACTTCAGGGATAACTGGATTTGAAGGAAAACCCTCAGCCAAATAAGAGTAGGTTACTTCATCTTGTTTTTTCTCCTCTGTACATCTATCTTCTCTGAAGTCTAGAGATGCCCATGATCCAGGACATAGCATTTGAAAACAGTCTCAATCTCGCCAGAGCTTCTAGCGACTTTTACCTGATCTGCTTGCCTTCTCTCATATCATATAAGGAAAAGAAGACATCAGTATCTTCCCCAATGGTGTTGTAGGTGAGACTCTTCAGACTGAGGAAGAAGTGATGTGGTACTGGTATCCGACAGCTTTCCCCATGACGTGGGCGCACTGTATCCACCTAACGAGGAAGGCAAAAGACAGTGACTTCTATTTTAGTCATTTATTATATTGACCCTAAATGAAATGAAAATGAAATGACTAACTCTCCTCATCTTGCTGAAGGGGATCATGTAAGAGAAAGAGAAATTAGAGGTGTTGTCTCTGCTAGTAGCAGGTGTTGTGTTAATATGCTTGGCTTGAGGCAGGCAAATACACAGCTGGGAAAAGTAAACAGAGTGAAGGAGATATGGGAACAGTAATTCCAGTTGATGAGTGAACTCAAAATCTCCGCCAGGCCACATACATTCTCCAGAGAACCACTTTCAAAGTGACTTCTTGGAGATGCTGTCACAATCCTGATGTACTTGGTTTACACTGTTAGATAGTAATAGTTACCATTCTAAACACCATTTTTATTTTCTCAGACTGATTCATTTTAGTGTCTCTGTCTATTTCATTTCAATTGTGCTTGTGTAAATTTGCACAGAGGAGTAGAGACTAGCCAAGTTTGCTAGGAGATCAGAGTTCCTTAGGTCACAATAAAGCAGTCAGTGGTTTAAAAAAAAAAGAAGTCAGTAATTTCCTGGTGCATACCTATTTTATAACTTCTCAAAAGAAAAAATTCAGGGAAAAGACTGGGAGGCCTGTCTTAAGTTGCTTACCTGAGAGGTGCTTTGCTGTACACTCTGCCGGCTAGATAAATGCTATGGAAAGAAAGAAAAAGATCAACTGGGAAAGAAACTAACTTTTGTTGCCACTTTAATTTTTTAATTGAAGGATAACTGCTTTACAGAATTTTGTTGTTTTCTGTCAAACACCAAGAATCAGCCATAGGTACACCCATGTCCCCTCCCGCCCGAACCTCCCTCCCATCTCCCTCCCCATCCCACCTTTCTAGGTTGTCATGAGCCCCTGTTTGAGTTCCCTGAGTCATACAGCAACTAACTTTTTAAAGCACCTTCTATATGCTAGGCATTCTGGTGCATAGTTTACATATATGATCTCATTTAATTATAATAACCTTGTGAGACAAACGTCGTTTGACAGAGGCAACTAAGGCTTAGTATAAGGAAGTGAGGTGCTGAAGATTTCACACAGCAAGAAGATGGCAAGCCTAGATTCACACCCAGGCCTTTCTAGCTTAGAGCAATCAGCCAGGTCACAGGCAGGTGCTCGATGCCGGAGTTTCGCTTCACCACTGTCCTCTCCACACGCTGTACCATGTCTGCGCTGTGTGACCCAGCGTCCTCGGGCTCTCCACTGGAGGAGGCGGAGCCTTCAACCCCGAGAGGCTCCTTCCCAAACATCCCTTCATGCTGCTCCTCTGCGGCTGGCTGAAGTCAGCAGAAGCAGATTCCAACCCCAGCTACACGCACTTGCTTGTGAAACTTCAGACAAATTGCTTATGCTCTCCAAGGGACAATTCCCCTTGACTATAAAAATGAAATAAAAGCTTTTACTGTCCTCCTCACAAGGTTACTGTGAGGTTCAAATGACATAATGGGAAGCAGCATGACACAGTAGTTAGCGGCCTAAGTGCAAGAGTCAGAACTCCTGGTTAAACCCTGACTCATGCTTTCCTCATCTGTAAAGTGACGATGGCATTTTGAGCTGAACCTCACAGGGTCTTGTGCAGGTTAACCCAGCACAGTACACACTCTAAATGGCTGATCACTGTTAGGGTCAGTTAGTATTCTTCTTCTTATTGGTGGTGTTCTTTGTAATTAGTTCTTATAGAAAAGTCTGCCACATTCAGAAGTAAACCCTGAATGCCAGGAAGAATAGTGGGTTCGCCATTCTTCAGGTCCCTGGTCTTGGCAGACTCAGCAATGAGAGTTTCTATCCTGCTTCCTTCTGGCCCCCAGAGGCAGTGAGACAGCAATGCTTTGGTGGACTGTTTCATATCACACGGGTAAGAACGGCTGCTAATTAGGATGGTTTTGTTCTTTTACCAAATATATTTAACCCTTAATAAAACTGAAGTACAATTAAATATTAAGTGCATCTCACTAGCTGTAGCAGTTATTAAATATTCATGTGCATTATTAGCTATAGTAGCTAATTATTATCGACTATTAATGTTCATCCATGGGAATACATGTTCCCATGATACATATTAAGTATAATTAAAACAGATCGCCACCAGCTGGAGAAGTCAGCACACAGAATGCTTATGTACAAAAGAATACCCCATATATAAAATAGGTCACAAGAAAGCTTTAAAAAAAAAAACAGGCTTTCAAAAAAAAAGAAAAATCAAGCTTTCTATGGTTTACTGACCCATATCCCACTGGGAAGGAAGTTACTGGCCTGAAACTCTTTCCACTGCTTTATTTTTAGGGGCTACATTAAGTCATTCTTCTCAAATGAGTTTACTGACTAGCTCTTCAAAGTGACTACCAATTCATAATCATTAATATTCAATTGTAACTACATATGGGAGTTCACAGCTAATTTCAGTGTAACTCATCCTGGTTGACAGTAACAGACATCATCCTAGGCTTCAGAGGTATCAAATCTGGGAAGAACTCTTCAACCGAGTCTGAAAGCACACCCATGGGTGGCCAGAGAATGGCATCAGAACTGGCATTTTGGAATGTCTTTCATGGCACCATAAGGAGAAACCACTCCCCTGCTGTCAGGAAGCAGTCAGTTGGCCAGATAGTACTTCCCTCTTCAGAACCATCATCACCTGTATTAGAGCCCTAACGTATTATGTTCTCATGTCTGCTACCCAACTCCAGATTTTGCCCTACCAGTGCACGAAGTACCTATCTTAATCATCTTTATATCCTAAGTGCAATATACATACAAAATACATGTTAATTAAAAATGTATGGACTACTTTATTGCCTCTGCCAAATTTTACCCCACAGAGAAGTCGGTTTTAGCTCTTTGGAGTCTCTGGTACATTAGTTCATGAAGGTCTAACTACATGGTGGGGGAGGGGAGTGCAGCTTGAGGCATTCTATTTAGTTGAATAACACAATTAACTGCCTGCTACATATGCTGGGAATTGTGTTAGATACTGTGAGTCTTACAAGGAAATGTAAGACACATATATCTGGTCAGGATCACCAACGAAATGATGCTTGATGGTTATAATAAATAATCTAATCAATTGATTTAAATCTAGAAATAGAAGTATAAACATTGATCTTTAAAAAAAACATTAATTGATTAAAAGTTAAATAGCTCTAAAGGCTTGCAATAAAAAAATCAGCCCTCCATTCACCCAATCCCATTCCCCAGAGATTAAGTAATTTCCAGTCTTTACTGTGTTTTTTTCTAGCATTTATCATATATTTCAAAATGTGATATTTATACTGCTCTTTTTTAAATCCGGTCTGAGATTCATCTACTGGCTTCTTATGGTAGCTGAAGATTTTCACACTTGTTTACATCTATTTCCCTTCATCTGTCTTCCCAGTAGCTCAGAGATATGGTTAAAACTTGTTTATAGTATTATAACTTTTATATATAGTTCACTTCTGAGCCAAGGAATGTATTTCAATTAAATTTTCTTTCTTCTACTACTTTATGATTTTATACTGGATTGATTTAAATTATAGGGTCTTTTCTACAACCACCTCCCTGCCCACAGCTCTATAAAACACCTTTCATTAGGAGATCCCACCTGGCTGCCCTCTTGCTTTACATGGACCAGTTACTTTCTAGGTCTATCACACAACTGTCATCCTGCACCTTCCCACTGATGTTAACCTACGAATTCTTTGCCCCTCCTGTTTGAATTAGAATCTCTTTCCTGGATGGGACATTTAAGCATCTTTTCATTTACTTCTTCATTTCAAATAAATAACTCATTTCTCTGTTGTTTCCTGAAAAGGGACCAAAGAAAGAGGTTTGAGATTTTGAGCAACCAAAGTTTTCTTTAGGCTACTTCCCTACTTGATGGAGTGTGGCTGAGTAAATACAGAATTCTAGGTTAAATTTTCTTTTCCCTCAGAATTTTAAAGGCAATTGCTCATTATTTTCTAGTTTTCAATATTGCTATCAGGAAGACAAATGCTATTCTTACAACAAATCCTCTAGCAGGTGACCTATTTTTCTCTCCAGAAGCTTTCAGCTTTAGTGAGCTGAAATGTCACTATTAAGTGATAAATATTTAGGCTTTTTTAATATAAATACTCCTATCTATAAGTTCTGGGAAATGTTTTCTAGCTTTATTGATATATAATTGGCATAAACATTGTATAAGCTTAAAAACATATATTGTGGTGATTTGATTCTATATATATGTCAAAGTGAATACCACAACAAGGTTAGTTAACACCTCCCTCATCTAACATTTACCCTTCTGTTGTTGTTACTATGGTGAGAACAATTAGATCTACTCCTTGGGTAATTTTCAAGTATATAATGCATTATTGTTGACTACAATCACCATGCTTTAGATTCCCAGAAATCAATGCTTTCGTAACTGGAAGCTTGTACCCTTCAACCAAAACCTCCTCATTTCTCCCATTCCCTAGCCCTTGGCAACCACCAATCTACTGTTCGCATGAATTCAGCTTTTTTAAAATTCCATATACAAGTGAGATCATAAAGTATTTGCCATTCTCTGCCTTACTGCACCTAACAACATAGTGCTCTCAAGGTTCATCTAAGATGTAAATGGCAGGATTCCCTTCTTTATTATGACTGAATAATAATTCCACTCTATATATACACCACATTGTTCTTACCCACTCATCCATCAATGAAGACACAATTTTCTTCCATGTCTTGGCTACTATGAATAATGCTTTAATAAACATGGAAGTAAAGCTATTTCTTTGAGATCCTGATTTCAATTCCTTTGGCCCTATCACTAGAAGTGGGTTGCTGGACCATACAGTAGTTCTACTTTCTATATTTTGAGGAACTTTCATTCTATTTTCTACAGTGGTTATAGTTATTTTTATGTTTTCTATCTTTCAACATTCATATTAGAGTTATATATCACCATATTAACAGTATTGGAGTATTGTGAATTCGACTATATACTTATCTTTACCATTGCATTTTACATCATCATATGTTTTTACGCTACTAGTTAGCATCCTTTCATTTCAGCCTGAAGAACTTTCAGCATTTCTTGTAAGGCAGGTCTAGGAGTGAAGAACTCCGTAGCCTTCCTGTGTCTGGGAAAATCTTCCTAACTCCTCTGTTTCTGAAGGACAACTTCACTGGGTGAAAAATGCATGGTTGGCAGATTTTTTCTTCTAGCACTTTGTAACATCTTACTCTCTCCTGGCCTGCAAAGTTTCTGCTGAGAAACATGCTGTTAGTCTTATAAGGGTTTTCTTATAAGTGACACATTTCTTTTTTCTTCTACTTTCAAGATTCTCTGTCTCCTTCACTCTCCACATCTAATTGATCATCAAAATTTATCTGCATTCTCCATGGTATCTCTTCTCCATTCCTATTGCTGCCTAGCCATTATTTCTTGTCTGAATCATTTCCGTAGCCTCTTTCCTCCCTCATTCCAGTCTTCTGCATTTTATACTGTCTCGGCATTTAAAACCCACATCCAATCATATCACTCCATGGTTCTATCAGACTAATAGTTCTATCAGTGTGGGGTTTACAAAGGCTTGCATGATCTGGCTGATGTCTCTTTCTTGGTTTTATCTCACAATTGTTAACACGTACTTACATGTCAAAGTTACCAAATATCTTACAGTTTGCTGGAATTACTACTTCCCTATGCTCTGTGCCATTTGGGGATGTCGTTTCTTTTGGCTTGTCTTTCTGTTGAAGCCCTGCTCATCCGTCAAGACTCATCTTAAGTATCACTTGCTTGGAAGCTTTAATTGGAAGTTTTCATTGATTTTTCCCAGCCCCAGGATGTCAGTCACTCCCTCTAACAGTAGGAGTGTATATCTTAATTATTACATGCAGCTCATAAACATTGTTGTTTGTGGTCTATCTGATCCCACTAGAGTAACTTTTAAACATGGGGACCATGCATGGGTTTCAGAGGCAACTATCAATTCCCTAAAATTGAGTGTAGAATTTTGTATGCAAAATCATACTTGTATTGTCCTGGGAAGAAATATTATCTGATCCTCCATAGCCTAGAAAGAGCAACCAATATCCTAAATGGTGATATTCCTAAGAAAAAGAATGTCATGTTTATCTTTAATTTCACACCTATCACTTTATGACAAATGAACACAAATGCTTTTGTATTCTTATAAATATACAGAAGCAATTGATATGTTATTTGTATATTTTATTTAGGCAAATTTTCTGTGGTCCTTGACCAAGCAACATACTTTGCATTCTCTGTGTTCCCTAAAAATATTACATTTTCTTAACAGAAATTTGTAATTTTTTCTAAAACTTGTAATTCTCACCAATACAGTCTCACCTCAAATATATTCTCCTCAAAGTGAGGCTTGACCCAGTCCCTTAGTCTAAGCTTAATAATCAACTGAGATTCCTTATGTTTATTTGTTTTACTTTAAAATTTCATACCTTTGTTTTAGTTACTTCTTCTGACTCAGCCTGCAAAGTGTCACCCACCCTGGTCATCAATCAATTCAATACACTTTTATAATAACCAACAAATAGTTAAAGATTCATCTTAGAAGTACTGGTACACTGATAAACAACATATATATTCACTGCATATATATTCAATGAACTATATTCAATACCTTATAATAACCTATAATGGAAAAGAATCTGAAAAAGAATACACACACACATACACACATAAAACTGAATCACTTTGCTATACACCAGAAATGAACACAACAATGTATATCAACTATAACTCAATAAAAAAATTTTTTTAAAGAAATACTGGTACTTTATTTATTTAATCACTACATTAACTAATAACTGGCTCTTTTCAGCTTCAGTATCTTCTCTTTTAGTAACTTCTTCATGCTGAAGGAGCTCTCTTCACCAGCAAAACCACCTGAGAAATGACCCCAAGACATCCCAGTAAGCCCAACAGTCCTACATAGTAATTCCCTGTAGAGACTGAGTATGCTAGGTACTGTCCTGATAAGGAAGACCCCCTTAAATACACTTGAAACAAAGGTGAATGATTTTAGCAATATTGTTTCATAATGTAATTAGAGATAATAAAAGAGAAAAAAATTAAGTGTGCAGGAACAAACTACCCTGTGTAATATTTCTTACCATTTTATAGAGATCTGAGACACTGATCTGGTCTGAATCCACTACTTCAAAGTCCTTTCGGGGTACCAGATCCAGGCCCAAGTGCCTAGGAAAGAGAAAGACCACATTCAGCATGCCGACTCACCTCTCTTTATGTGCCTGGAAGCCTATGCCAGCCATGACCTTGTGGATAGAGGTTAAGATGCTGCCTTAGCAGGAACATGCCTTTATCCAGCTTAACTGTGACTCACAGAGTCAGACATGAACAACAAACAATATTCACCTTTAGATAAATAAATGAGGCTAGGAATTTTAAGACTGACAATTTTAGTCATCAAGCAGTTCTCCCTGTAATGCTAAAAAAGGATTCATTCGGTATCATATTTGTTAACAGATTGCTTGAGTTCATTATGGATGGATTTTCTCATATCATTAATAAGTCACATTTATTTTTCTATTTCCCCCATCCTACAAGTATGAACAAGGCTCAATCATGCATTACTTTCACTAGGATAAAAAAATTATTTAGTGTCCAAGTAGATATGCAATTCAAAGTCAAATACAAAAATAAGCTCCTGGGAATTCCAGGAGGTCCAAAACTCTGTACTTTCAGTGCTAAGGCACAGGTTCAATCCCTGGTTATGGAATCGAGATCCTGCAAGGCATGTGGTATGGCCACAAATAAAGGGAAAACCATCACCTCCTAAAAGCATTAAACTCAAAGAAATGCAGGTTTTAGTTAGGTCTTATCTTATTTTCAACTTAATTAATATTGACATTGGGTTATAGTAAAGACTTCACCACACATTAGCCAATATCTTAAGACATTTTAAATGAAAGTTTAACCAGGGAGCACTACTAATGAAGAAAACAAAACTTAAAAGATCTTGTGTAACTTGGGCAGAAGGAACAAGTGATGATGATTAATGGTTGGTTAGGAGGCAATATGGGATACCAGAAATAGCTCTGTATAGGAAGAGCTCTTGGGTTCAAATATGGTATATAATTTCTTTTCAATACATATTAAGTCCTTTCTCACTCTCTAGAAAACAGCTCTAAATCTGGAGGCCAATGGAATTAGGGGGTTATGGACCCCTCCAACTACTTATACAAGTATGTGCATGTGTTCATGCATTCATTTTCTCTGGGCAGAGGGCCTATAACTCTCACCAGGGTTTCAGAGCTGCTCTGTAATCACCCTACTCTAAAACAAGTGTTATGAATTACTGCACCCGGCAAAGTATTCCATAGATGATGGAAGGAGAAGTATATATATATTTCTCTTCACCTAGATTTTGAACTATGTTCAGAATATGCTAACATATGCTAACAAATTCTCTAGGCTCTTTCTGTGCATAAAACTCCCAATGAGAAATAAACCTTTAGTACATTACACTGAGATCTGAAACTCCTGTTTGAAATAAGCCAATGTATACACCCAAAATGCAAAATTATTTTATTTATAATTTACACCTTATTTTATAGGAAAAGGTTTTTATATTTTATATCAAGAGGTTCAGGAAATTGTAATAAGAAATAAGACTGATAAAAATGGGAACTCAAACTTACATGAAGAAGCCATAAGTAAATACACTAATGACACAGACTAGTACGATTACTATGATCAAAAATTAAAATTTATATGTATAGTTTTTGGCAGGCAAGAAAAAAGAAACCTATCTTCCTATTAAAGGATAAAAATCTCATTTTTCTGTTATCTATTACTATAATTTGTTTTATTCTACAATAGAGAAATGTGAGTGAAACAATTTTTTGGTACTAAATGCTAAAAAAAAAAAAGTCTAGTTTTTCATGATGAGAAAATCAGTAATACACTGTTGGCCTTAACTACAATAGTTCATAGTTTAAAGGTAAAACCATGCCATCGAATATGATTCCTGAAGTTAATGCACTTAAATCTGTAAGAGATTTTATTTCCTGTCTTCATACACCAAAGAGGTACTAAATTCAATCACTTCTTATTAATTATTCTTAATTTCTCTGAAATAGTTTTAGGCCTCTGGCTTCTAATACTTATAGCATGTAAAGGCAGTAGTGTCATGGAGAGCAAGATACAGTTGAAGCCCATCCTTCCTATCTCTCTCATCTTAAAAGCAATTTACAATTTAAAGATAATGAAGTTATGATAGCAAATATTCAGAATACTTTTACATGCATGTGGAAAAACAGTGGAAAGATCACAAAAATGATAATAGTATTTGTATAAGAAAGTGAAATTAGACAATTTATCAACCTAAAATATTTTACAGATTTTCTGTAGTCATGCTGTGAAAACTTCTTTAAATACAAAAATAAAGATTTCATACGTATTCTTTAACCTCTGGTGGTCACAAAATACATGAGGTAGTCTCAATATTACAATAACTTAACAAAAAGAAAGACTGTACAAATAATCAAAACAGTTGTTTTCATTACAACAGCTTAAGAAAAAATCCACATGGATCAAAGTCAGGAAGGCTGTGATGTGCCCAGTGGTAGTGCACCACACGCAGGCTCCAGGAGCTTGTCTGGAGAATGGCATCTATGAAAACTCTACCTTAGCACTGTGAAAACCTTAGCTGGCTTGTCCATTCAATTATTCACCCATATATCCACCAACTCACACCAAAGACACTTGCTGAGGATCTGTCATGTACCACCAATGGTGTTAAGATACTGGAAACAGAGTACTTTTGAGCCAAGCAAATGTTCATATCCAACATGTTAATTCTCCCCTAAGAGCAAAGTGCTTTCTCTCTCCTAGAAGTCACTAGAACACAGTACCATTTAGTTTCCTGTTTCATTATCTTAGGAAGAAAATGATTAACAGGTGATCTAATTAGACTGAATGCTGATTTCCTTCTAAGATCTTCTTCAATGGAAGAAGAGCAGTTTCCAAAAGCTAAATTGAAGAACTGTCCTCAGTGGAAGAAGGCAGAGATGCTGCACAGTGAGAAACAACACATGTTCACTAAAATTTCACCCTATAAAAGAGATTCCTGGCTATTTCTTCCTATAGTATATTCTAAAAATAGTGAATGGTTAAGTGCAGAGGATGGTCAACTTAGTCTCTTCTCACAGCAAAGGAAGGTAGTACATCAGAGTAGTTAGGAGCATCTGCTCTGATACTGGATTGCCTAGTTTGTATCTTGACTCTCCCATAAGTGGGACTCTTCTTGATGCTTCTCTACTATCATAGACTAGTGTAAGAATTAACCCATGTAAAGCACTCACTACACTTCCAGGCACTGTGAACTGCTTCCAGTGTTATAATTATCATTATGTGTTACATCATTAGCTAAAATATGACTTAGAGTACAAAGACTGTGATTAAAGAGAATGTCCAAAAAGAGACTCCTAAACAGATGGACACAAGCAGAAGGCATACAACTACACATGTATATACATATAGATGTAGTTCAAAACTGGGAGAGGAGTACAACAAGTTTGTATATTGCCACCCTGCTTATTTAACCTATATGCAGAGTACATCATATGAAATGCCAGGCTGGATGAATCACAAGCTGGAATCGAGATTTCCAGGAGAAATAAATACCTCAGATATGCAGGTGATACCACTCTAATGGCAGAAAGTGAAGAGGAACTAAAGGGCCTCTGGATGAGGGTGAAAAAAGAGTGAAAATGTTACCTTAAAACTCAACACTCAAAAAACTAAAATCATATCTGGTCCCATCACTTCATGGTAAATAGAAGGGGTAAAAAATGGAAGCAGTGACAGATTTTAGGTTCCTGGACTCCCAAATCACTGCAGACAGTGACTGCAGCCATGAAATTAAAAGATGTCTACTCCTTGGAAGAAAAGCTATGACAAACCTAGACAGCATATTAAAAAGCAGAGACATTAATTTGCTGAAAAAGGTCCATATAGTCAAAGCTATGGTATTTCCAGTAGTCATGTATGGATGTAACAGTTGGACTACAAAGAAGGCTGAGCATCAAAGAATTGATGCTTTCAAATTGTGGTACTGGAGAAGACTCTTGAGAGTCCCTTGGACTGCAAGGAGATCAAACCAGTCAATCCTAAAGGAAATCAACCCTGAATACTCACTGGAAGGACTGATACTGAAGCTGAAGCTCCAATACTTTAGCCACCTGATGCAAAGAGCCGACTCATTGGAAAAGACCCTGATGCTGGGAAAGACTGAAGGCAAAAGGAGAAGGGGGCGACAGAGGACAAGATGGTTAGACAAGATCACTGACTCAACGGACATAAATTTGAGCAAACTCTGGGAGACAGTGGAGGATAGAGGAGCCTGGTATGTTACAATCCATGGGGTCGAAAAAGTTGGACACAACTTAGTGACTGAACAACAACAACAATAAAATAGATGTTGTATAGAACTGCTTCCAAAATGGTCTTACTAACTGCTTAGGTGAATGTGTGTTTAGTAGCTCAGTGGTATCAGACTCTTTGTGACCCTCAGGACTTAGCCCACCAGGCTCCTCTGTCCATGGAATTTTCCAGGCAAGAATACTGAAGTGGGTCTCCAGTTCCTCCTCTAGAGGATCTTCTTGACCCAGGGATTGAACCTATGTCTCCTGCACTGTAGGTAAATTCTTTACCCTCTGAGCCATTGGGAAAGCTTAGGTGAACAGTCTTCATAAAAATATTTAGTCTTCTTTCACCATTTGTTATTAATCACTATAATCACAATATTATTAATCACAATTAACGGATTAATCTTTCAATAATTTCAATAATTCAATAAATATTTCTTAGCACCTACTCTATGCTAGGCTCATGTGGAACTAAGGGACATAGCAGTGAATGAGACATATTTCTGCTCCTACATTCTTTTAGGTGTGCCTCTCAAAAGTTCTAAACCTAACAAATTCTTTGAATTTTACATGTCTCTTGAATGTTCCAAATTATATTTTCTTTTTAAAATATAATTTTATTTCTTTATTTCTGTTTGGCTGTGCTGAGTCTTGTTGCTCTCCAGCTGTGCTGTGGGGGCTTCTCATGGCAGTGGCTTCTCTAGAGCACACTCTAGGCTGCATGGGCTTCAGCAGCTGTATAGCCCATGGGCTCAGTACTTGCGACCCTCAGGCTCTACAGCATAGGCTCAATAGTTGAGGCACACG